AGCAGAGAAGGACACGTGTGGAAACCCGCCTGAGAAAAACACCATCGTTTTGTTTCATTGTAACAGATGGATTGCATCAACGCCGTCGGTTACAAAAAACACACGTTACAAATATTGTAAAAGCTCCATTTCAGCATTCAAATCATGATAGGCATCAATTCAAATAGAGACAAAACAACTTCGTGGGTCCAATGCAGAATCAACGGCTACTAATGGAGCTGTTTGGTAGTAAAATTAGACCAAAAAGTAGTGGAAAAACCCCCTAAATCTCACATGCTAGTGGTTTTATCAAATTTTGAAGGGTTATTTATGAGGAAATGGAGAAACCAGAGAGGATGATTACGGTGAGATTCTTTTTACATGAGTTAGTGTGTAAAATGCATGTAGACAACTCAGTGTGATTGTGCTGACAGCCGTTAGTTTTGTAGTGTCAAAAAGTTTAGTGGTATGACAAATTAGACAAGAGCAAAGACGTAAGAAAACATGTAAAAGATGAAAAGGAGTTGGTGTACCTAATCTTTTCCGTTTGTTCTGTGGATGTATTCTTGTGTGGGCGACATATGAAGGTGTTCGACTCAGTTTATATGTTTCCATTGAAAGCCTGCCATTTGACTGCTATATATGGAGAGGGCATGCATTTGATGAGATCAGCTGATAATTATGGATTGGTTTTGCGAAGAATGGTAGGAGTATACACATTAATTTAGGTGAAGATGCATGTTTGTGATGATCAAACCCAAAAATAAATTGCGAGGTTGAAAGAGACATGTATTTAACTCTTCGTTGTAGTAGATGCAAACCTTTTAGTTATTCGGGTTAGCTATATCTAATAGTCTCGTGTGTCGTATAAAAGAGACACCTATACATATGATTGATTTTATATGATATGAACATGATTGCACTCGATCTGTCGATTAAGTCTAATGCCTTAGAAATTATGTTTAAAATCATCTATTTATATATATTAGGGTCATGGAAATGAGAGTGGAAAAGGAAGAATATTACCCTTAAAGTTTTCAAATTTATTATTAGGAGAACAATTTTCACACTTTTTTATTATATAGGCCCTCAAGTTTGAATAAGTATTATGATACCCGTTTGTCTTATTAAAAGAACACTCAAAATTTAAAAACCTATCATGATACCCATTTGCCCTAATTTCATTACATCATCGCGAGTTTACAAAACACTTTCTTACAATACCAAAGTTATATTTTACCCAACACTTTTTATAAAACCAAAGTCACCATTTTACCTATGTAGCACACTGATGGCGAAAGGGTATAAATGATACACAATTTTAAACTTTGAGAGCCTATTGATTAAAAATGCAACATTTATCATCCAATGATAAATTTGGAAACATTAAAGATAGTCTTAGAGATTCTTCCGGCTGAAAAGATCTTACTGACCTGTCATTTCACTTCATTTTTGTTTTGAAAGCTTCACATGTCGATTTGGGTTGGCAATTAGGAAATCTGTCAACAACAAATAAAGAAATAAACATCTTATATATATATATATATATATATACCTACAAAAGAAACGAGGATGAAATTCTTATACTTGCAACTTCATGAAAGGATAAAGAGCATGCTGCTTCATTATAAACGAGAAATTTGCCTTCATTATACTAATCTGTTAGTTCTAAAATTAACAAACTACAGTTTTTTCTAATTCTTGTTTTATTTCTATTTTATTTTTCTATGCAAGGTGAGAGAACAAGAAGATTATGATCAAACAGCTATGAGAGAACAAAATGCAGCTTCAGACAATTGAATTATGTGGTTGAGGTGGTTCTCTTTCAAGTGTGAATAGGAAGTGTAGATGGTGGTGTTTGTGGAGAATGTGCAGGTTGCTGTGTAATGAGTACATAGGAAATTGTTGTTGAGATATTGGAGAGGTTACTGGAGGTATATATATAGGTTCAGAAGAAGCAAGTGTGAGCTAGAATAATGCTTATGAATCGGAACTGCGGGATCATGTACTGAAGGGGCATGGTAATTGAAGATAATTAATTTAACTTTGCTGAGATTTATTTCAATGCAAATGATATTCACTGTTTTTTATTTCTTCTAATCTATACATGAATACACCTATATTGTAAAAGATATCACATTTCACATTATCACTTATATTTTGTTCATCTGTATTATGCCTAAGAGGGTGTTTACTGCGATAACTCACTCTCACAAAACACCTCATACTATATGTAATGGAATTCTATAAATACTGATAGTAAAACCAGATATGATGAAGTGATAATGGGATATCCTGCAGTATACTCTTGAAATCAGCTAGAAGGCTTCAACTAGTTGAGAAGGCAATATCTACATGAACAAATCAATGACCACTTTGAGATTCAAACACCCCACCCTTATCTCTTTCATTTGAACATTTCTAGCATACAAGAATCTAATGGAACACTGAAACAAAATGGTATAACTATGCATTCAACCACATCATAAATAATTAGATTCCAATAACATTTTGATATGCAATAAAATCAATAAAAAATCATTAATCGTCTAATTTTCCTCACACTCTAAAAACTTATTAAGAAAAATAAAAATACCTTCTTAATTTGATTAAAAAATTCTAATAATTAATTAATCTATATCTATCTCCAAAAGATTAAATAAATTAAGAAAGATGGAAAGAAACGTACCTAGAGATTTAATGACCGATGATCTGAAATCCGCGAACAAAATTACGTGCAATGTAACACGAACAACATCAACACAAGTTGGGGTTTGTACCGACCATCTATCATTATCTGACTTTATTAACTTAACTACAATATGATTATCAAAAATAAAAATAAAATTCAAATTATGCTTAGGGTTTCTAACATTGGGGAAATGCTTAAACATGGGGTAGATTTTTTAAACAATTAAATGTGAATTTCCAATCAGAAATTTAATGAAAAAAAGATAATAATAAAAAGAAAATAAAAGAAGATGAGATAGAAGTATTACACAAGCGTTAACATCGAAAATGATGATAATAATTGGTAAAGTAAAGCGACGAATCAGATATAGACACCTGGCGAATATACGAACGATTTACCAATAGATGATTGGTTGTAATTTATTTTATCACCAACATAGAAAGGAAACGTAATTGCATTAATATTTCTATAAATTCATGAATGTGTGTGGGAAAATTGACAAAAAATGGTTTAGAACTAATTATTTGATTAATACAGTCGTGATTAATGGAATAAAATAAATAAATAAAAAATGGTAGAATATCTTGAGAAAAAAGGCTCGTTAAGTCTCTCAATCTAAGTGTCAACTTTCTCTTTTTCTTTCTTTTCTTTTAATAAAATTCTACTTGTACTACTGAGTGTTTTTTTTTATTATTATTATTAATTAAGAGGTAAATACTTCTTTTCCCCTGTGGTAAAAAGAAACTACATTGGAACCCCATGATTTGAAAAAATGACACTTAGCTCCGCTGTCTTGAATTGACCATGTTTGATTATTAAAAAGACAAAATCGCTTGTTCTGTTTTCTTTAAATCATGAAAATAACTCTTTTATTGTCAACTACATTTCTTCTTCCAAAGAAACTTTCTAAATTTGAAGTGTCTGGACGTTCGTCGAGAGGAACACCGGTTCTCTGAATCTGGATGCGTCGAGAATAAGATTTTTTTCCTGGTCGTTACATGAGCAAGAACAGCCTATTTGGTGATGAAATCTTTTTAGTAAAACAATTATCTTTTTATTAATAATTTGACTAAGAATAATTCGGTGTATGCAGTTTGATAGCCTTTACAATTACAAACATATATTAAACTTATAAAACATAATTATGGTTTTTTTTTTTTTTTTTTAGGGTCCAAGATATAATTTTTAATAAAATACCAATATTGTAAAAATTAATTTATGGATTTAATTTTATAAATCACATAGAATGGGCCTAACCTAAGGTGCGGTGGCAATAGCAACTTCAGTTTTAGGGCTTCATTCTGGTTGGGCCGCATAGTACTTTTATATAAATATATTTACTTTATTAAATATAATATAACTATATTTTTTTTAAATAACTAAACGTCCGTTTGTTTTATTATTTTGGATAGGATTTTGGGAATAATATTAAATAGATGAATATGGGAGTATTACGAGATAAAATTTAAAAATTTATAAAAAAAACCCGTAGATTCGCTAATTTACTAAACACCCTAATATATAAAAATTTTGTAAAATGAATAAAACACTCCTACCACCCGCACAGTCGGAATCTGGTCGAAAAATTGTATTACACTATAAATCGATCGGATCTGACGAGTAGGACGTTGATATGACCTTTTTCGATCAGATTCACCACGTATCTAGTCTGACTGTCACCTGTCACAAATGTCTCGTCAGTTTTAGGGCTTTATTCTAGTTGGGCCGCATAGTACTTTTATATCAATATATTTACTTTATTAAATAGAATATAAGTATATTTTTTTAAATAACTAAAGTGGCCGGACCACCGCCGTGGTAAGGTAAATCATAGGTAAAGGTTAAAAGAAATATTTCTCAAAAGGTTAAATTGGAGTCAAATTAAGATACCCTTTTGGGTCCGGCAAACAAATATATGATGTTGATGTTTCTCCTTGCTGCTGCTTCAAGTTATAACAATTGCCCCCTAATCAAATTCCAAAAATTGACCATTCCCAAATATTTCCAAAGTTAAATTCCTCCAAAAACCATCTCAAAGCATTATTTTTCTAATTTCGGAACGTCTGGATTTTAAGTTTGAATTTTAGGTCCGAATTTGAAGTCCATATTCCATTTATCTTCTGTGCATATAAGCCATAGAAGATAAAAGATTTCCCTGTAGGAGATGTTGACATTCAAATGATTCCAGCAAACAAGTGCCCATTTTCCCTAAATTTGTCTCTCTAAAACAAAGCAGTACCCTGTAACCTCCATGTTAGTCTGGTCCACCTGAGTTTTCATTTAGTTCCTTTATAATCTCCCCATACACATTCCTATCTCGCCAGTTTCACCCGTTAGATTGACATCTAAAAATGAACAGGACGATGAATTCTACTTGCTACATTAACAGGAACAAAATGGGATGACAAAATTACAGAATTCACTGATATAAAACCTTACAAGTTCTAGCTAAAACCGCGCAGATGGTACAATGAAGAACATACATAACAAACATAGTGATAAAAGGGAGATATAGAAGGGAACCGGAAGATTGATCGATGAAGACTGATTCGAAATATCAAAAGAATCAACAGCGAGAGGCATTCCATCACTGCTAAGAGTGCAAGATTGAGGATCAGAGCCATCTGTGCTCATCATCATAGCGCGTATGACCGCTGAAACAGTGTGAATGTAGGCAGTTCGGTTCTTGGCAAGCAGCCAAGTGAGCCCCATTAGTTGACAATCTTTGTTGTGTATTTTGGTAGTCCTCTCATCTGATTTGCTTCCATTGGAAGCCTGGTTGTTAAGCTGCAATAAAACATTATTAAATCAAACAAGTACAAGTTATAAATGTCATTTGATTGTACTAACAAAAGTTTGGTAAATGAAGTTATATACACCGAATAATTAGGTACAACATCCAACAAAAATCAACTGGAATCCGCAAGTCAAGCCTTTAATACCCAGCAGTATTCCCGACTGTTCACTTGAAAAATCCAAGTCCAAGGAAATTAATGGAGTTCTACATTACCACTTAGACCAAACATTTAAACCAAAGTACCGGGTTCGAATCCTATCCGGGACACATTTAGAACAAAGTTTATGGTTTGAACCTCTGGTGTTTAGGGCATCTATGTGGCCAGTGTTTCTTTCTTGTTTCTTCCCAAAGATCGAAGGAAAAGTTTTAGCCAAAAGTGAGCTGAAGACTCAAATCCATATGGCCAATGGCGCGTGTTTCTTTCACAAACTTTTATGGCGCGTAAAACATACTAAAAGTGTTAAACCAGAGACAAGAAGGTAATCCACATGAAGTATAGTAAAGAAAAGCAACATTAAAAAAAAAAAAAAAAAAAATCAACTTTCCCAATTTATCAAGCCAGATGAACAAACCCTAAATCACCCATTTGTTCTTCTTTGATTTTGTATGATACCCACAAAAGGAAAAAGAAACCAAATTGAACCAAAATATAAATTTACCTGATGAAGAGAGTGTAAGCATTTGTTACAGCCACCAAGGCCTGGAAATCCATTGACATTGGAGCTGCTACTCAAGCAATCTCTTTCTAATCTCTTCACATTTTTATTCCCAGAAAGTTTTCCTTTCTGGTTCAAAGAGAAAGCTTCAGGGCAGTTGAGGGGATGCAATCTAATGCCACAGTAACAATACACCACATCACAAGTTTCATTAGGCTTAACGAGTTCTATTCCCTTTTGTTTCAGAGCTTTTCCAAGATCATCCACGCAAGTTTCAGAGTCATCAGGCAGCAGAGGCAAGTCCACAGAAGTTGGAGAGTGACCCACAATGGCCGGGCTCACACTGCCAGTTCTGCCCAAAGCAGTGGCCGAATAGGCGGCGTAGAGCCACGAAGCTAGAACTGGACAGCACCGGCTTCGGTGAAGCTGCCCGGTTGCATCACCGGGTTTGGAAACTCCACATGCACTCTTTACGCTATGAAAAAGCCCTTCAGGGAGGTTAAGTGGACAGCCGGCGACATTGGACTGTTCCGGGAATGCAGGGATTGTGGCTGGAGGGGAGGATGCGACATGGAAAGGTTGGATTGATGCAGGTTCTGGATTGGGGAGAGAGGAGGAGGAGGAGGAGAAGAAAACAGGGGAAAGAAGAAGAAAGAAGAGGGGTGTAAGTGAAAAGAATGAAAGTTTGAGGTACATTGGTGATAGATTATGAAATGGTGGTTGAAGAGAAGATTGAAAGGAAAGAAAAGAATGGAGGAGGAGGAAATAAAGGAAGAAGAAGAAGAAGGAAGTGGGGTTGGGGGATGGGTTTGAGTTGATGATGAATTACCTCGGTTAGATCTATTTAAGTTTTTAAGTAAAAGTTAAGTAGTGGGGATTAGTAATAGTATCATGAACAAATCATTATTTTGCATAAAGTTTTATTTATTATGTATTTACATTATTCTTTCTTATATAATTTATGTTATCCCAACCATTAGATTATGTTCATTATTCAATTTGTTCCATATTACATTTTGATTTTATTAGAAATTGTATTTATTTCACATCGCTAAATTAACACATTGAGATTAGTTCTAATTAATAGACTGTTATAATGTATATATGATCACGGATTCAGATTCTCTAATTCTCGAGGAGTGGGTAATTTGTCACATTAATAAACTGTTATAATGTATGTAGGATAAATGAAATTGCCACAAAACAGAGTGTGGACAATGGGGGAAAGATAAGATAGAGATAGAAACTAGAGGAAAAATAATTAATGTGGACAAAGTCATGAACATTATATGTATGCAATAAATCTCATGAATTTTTTAATCACATTCACGGGATAAGCCTCACCAATTTTTTTAGGATTCAATTTCGAATATCAATCAAATTGCCCAAAATAAAATAAATAAATAAATATATTGATATCATATCACTTTAAAAAAAATAAAAATAAAATATTGGGAATTAGGGTCCTCAACATTTTGAAACAACTTTAGGTTGTTTAATTGCATTCTAAAACCACGTATAGGATTTAGAATAAGTTATTTTACAACTTATAAAAAGAAACTCATCCATAGCTCGTAGGTAATCCAAATGGTTAAAGCGAATTGAGGATAGTGTGAATAGAAACACGATTTCAGGTTCAATTTCTCGTATGAGTATCCACGATTTAATCTGGGAATCATGGTAGTAAGTTGTTGTGCTAGTCTCCTAAAATGATTACCTATTGTTTATTATTTATATGATATAAAAAGATTAATATTTTATAGATTACATTAACTAGACACGTCACGGCTTGCACTATAATAAAAACAATTAAAACGACAACACTTGGAAGCCACTAGGCCACTCCACACTCTCTGGCTGCCTCCATCGCTGACTCTAACTTGTCTTCCTGTACTACTTCTCCGTGATGCTCAACGCCTACGGCTTGCTGGCTCCTTTGAGAGTTAAAGTAAATAGTAGCCCAGGGAGACCCAGACCAAATGCCTTGCAAAAAGCCGAGTGTTGAAGTTTGCACGAGACGCGCTGGCTGCCACCGCCCTAATGGAGCCTTCTGCGAAACAGCACCATGATGAAGCGATGAATGCCAACTGGAGGACGTGGACCCACGTATGGCAGAATCTCTTTCCTGCAACATTCATTCAACCCACTTCATTAAAACTACGTACATTAGTAAATCAATATTCTAAAAGTATCATTTAATAGTTTGGAATCTAAGGCTGCAGTCTGAATGATGGACAAGTGGAGAGATATGAGATAGACATGTGTTTCAAGAACACTAATCAACTAAGGAGATGATACAGATGGAGTCACAAGTGGGCAGGCTATCATCGACATGGGTGATACCTGTTGTTCCAGAATCAAACACGTGCCAACATGCCGTGGTTTTGCATACAAAATTAAAAGTAAAACCCACCCAAGAAGAAAACGCATCCGTTACATTAATTAATAATGGGGAAATCGAAGAAAGAGAAGAAAGTGTGTCTGTATATGCACAAAGAATCGGAAAGAAAAGCTTTTATCATGTACACAGGTACGTAACACAAAATTTTGCATTTGAGAAAACAGAAAACAGAATAGGGTTAATGAGCTAAACATTTTGTTTCTCCATGAACATGAAAGCATACTCGTACCACGTGCCCAAGGAATAGAGAATTAATAGTTGTGTTGTATCGATCATTTGGAAATGTTGCGGCGTGGACAAATGTTAGAGTAGTATTTGGTGTTGGCGTAATTCAGAAAACATGTATGCTCATGATCATCCTGATGTGATGTGATGTAACCCTAAAGAATTTCTCAAAAAATTATCATTCATGCTCCATTTTGCCGCGTACTATGTAGAGTGGACACTGAGAACAGTTCTAAAGGCTTTATCAGTGTCAAAATCAATGTCCAGCTATAACGAGCTCTTATTTTAACTACATGAACTTCGAAAAAGATATCTCGAAATCTTATTTAACACATGTATGCATGCAGCCAGCAAAATCGAAAGAAATATTTAATTTCTGGAGGTAATTTTGTTTTTCTGGCCATGCATGCAGATGAAAATATTAATATTTGATCATCAGATCATAGCATTTAATTTACTGCCCCATTTTCACCTTTGGTTGGGTTAGTGCACCAGGAATGTCCACGGCGATCCTGAAAACACAAACAAGATGCATGAATGAAGAGAATAATTAAACCCCAACAGAGAAGAAGTAAATATTAATTAAGTTGGCGCGTTGGAGGAACAAAATTTTCTGACCAGTGAACCCATTCTCGCCATGCTGGGTTCGCTGGGGCTGGGTGCGTCGGATCAATCATCACCTACAGCAAACAATTAAACATCATTAATCTTCATATATCGCCATGCATGAAGTTATATAAAAATATATACACAAAAGAGTTTGAATGGAGAGCAAACCAGAGCATAAAGCTCATCAGAATGGCCAGTGATAGTGATCTTAGGGGATTGATAGCCATGGATGGCTTGATGTCAACCCATTAGTCACATGCTTAGCGCCATAGTAAACAGACATGTTCACACTCGGAACAAACATGTCAACAACATCACCAATAACCCTCCAACAACAAGAGGGTCAACAGAACAGCCATTGCCAACCCACAAACAAGAAGAAAAAGAAGAGAAGAATTGAAATTGGTGTGAGTTTGAAGTGAAGAATGGTAGGGTTATATAGCGCCGTTAGAGGAAGAGGGGGTGGTGATAGTGTAACTATAGGACATGCATAGGGCATAAAAAAGTTGATGAAAGCAGAGAAGGACACGTGTGGAAACCCGCCTGAGAAAAACACCATCGTTTTGTTTCATTGTAACAGATGGATTGCATCAACGCCGTCGGTTACAAAAAACACACGTTACAAATATTGTAAAAGCTCCATTTCAGCATTCAAATCATGATAGGCATCAATTCAAATAGAGACAAAAAACTTCGTGGGTCCAATGCAGAATCAACGGCTACTAATGGAGCTGTTTGGTAGTAAAATTAGACCAAAAAGTAGTGGAAAAACCCCCTAAATCTCACATGCTAGTGGTTTTATCAAATTTTGAAGGGTTATTTATGAGGAAATGGAGAAACCAGAGAGGATGATTATGGTGAGATTCTTTTTACATGAGTTAGTGTGTAAAATGCATGTAGACAACTCAGTGTGATTGTGCTGACAGCCGTTAGTTTGTAGTGTCAAAAAGTTAGTGGATGACAAATTAGACAAGAGCAAAGACGTAAGAAAACATGTAAAAGATGAAAAGGAGTTGGTGTACCTAATCTTTTCCGTTTGTTCTGTGGATGTATTCTTGTGTGGGCGACATATGAAGGTGTTCGACTCCAGTTTATATGTTTCCATTGAAAGCCTGCCATTTGACTGCTATATATGGAGAGGGCATGCATTTGATGAGATCAGCTGATAATTATGGATGGTTTTGCGAAGAATGGTAGGAGTATACACATTAATTTAGGTGAAGATGCATGTTTGTGATGATCAAACCCAAAAATAAAATTGCGAGGTTGAAAGAGACATGTATTTAACTCTTCGTTGTAGTAGATGCAAACCTTTTAGTTATCGGGTTAGCTATATCTAATAGTCTCGTGTGCGTATAAAAGAGACACCTATACATTGATTGATTTTATATGATATGAACATGATTGCACTCGATCTGTGATTAAGTCTAATGCCTTAGAAATTATGTTTAAAATCATCTATTTATATATATTAGGGTCATGGAAATGGAGGTGGAAAAGGAAGAATATTACCCTTAAAGTTTTCAAATTTATTATTAGGAGAACAATTTTCACACTTTTTTATTATATAGGCCCTCAAGTTTGAATAAGTATTATGATACCCGTGTCTTATTAAAAGAACACTCAAAATTTAAAAACCTATCAATGATACCCATTTGCCCTAATTTCATTACATCATCGCGAGTTTACAAAACACTTTCTTACAATACCAAAGTATATTTTACCCAACACTTTTTATAAAAACCAAAGTCACCATTTTACCTATGTAGACACTGATGGCGAAAGGGTATAAATGATAAAATTTTAAACTTTGAGAGCCTATTGATTAAAAATGCAACATTTATCATCCAATGATAAATTTGGAAACATTAAAGATAGTCTTAGAGATTCTTCCGGCTGAAAAGATCTTACTGACCTGTCATTTCACTTCATTTTTGTTTTGAAAGCTTCACATGTCGATTTGGGTTGGCAATTAGGAAATCTGTCAACAACAAATAAAGAAATAAACATCTTATATATATATATATATATATATACCTACAAAAGAAACGAGGATGAAATTCTTATACTTGCAACTTCATGAAAGGATAAAGAGCATGCTGCTTCATTATAAACGAGAAATTTGCCTTCATTATACTAATCTGTTAGTTCTAAAATTAACAAACTACAGTTTTTTCTAATTCTTGTTTTATTTCTATTTTATTTTCTATGCAAGGTGAGAGAAACAAGAAGATTATGATCAAACAGCTATGAGAGAACAAAATGCAGCTTCAGACAATTGAATTATGTGGTTGAGGTGGTTCTCTTTCAAGTGTGAATAGGAAGTGTAGATGGTGGTGTTTGTGGAGAATGTGCAGGTTGCTGTGTAATGAGTACATAGGAAATTGTTGTTGAGATATTGGAGAGGTTACTGGAGGTATATATATAGGTTCAGAAGAAGCAAGTGTGAGCTAGAATAATGCTTATGAATCGGAACTGCGGGATCATGTACTGAAGGGGCATGGTAATTGAAGATAATTAATTTAACTTTGCTGAGATTTATTTCAATGCAAATGATATTCACTGTTTTTTAT